TTCATTTTGGCCATGAGATCGTTCATGTCAAGCGAGACAGCAATTCTCTTGCGGTTCACAGCAGGTGCTGCAAAACAGATCCTGTCGGGGGAAAAATGGCTTACAATGATATTAATTTTGCATGTGTATTAACAGACACTGTACATATGTACCATAATGTTCTAGCTACATACAGTGATACTAAACATGTGTGAAAACAGCCATAGGTGTTGGTTGAAGGTATTTACTTTTCGCTCTAATAGATGTTCTGTTCTCAGTTTTCTCATATTATTCAGAGACGAAATGACCATTTTTGGCACCCTACGCGCGCAAAGTGACACATCAACCTCTGTCCTCTTTTTCATGGCGCAGTCTTACGTCACATGTCAGAGATCCTCACACGAAATATGCTAGGTCTCATGCTACCTGCTCCTGAACTTTCGCTAATCTCTACTTGAGGTAGTCGTCCCTGGCCGCCGTCTCTGGCCTGTCGCCTGTCTGCCTGTGCCTCGTAGCCGGTGGCCTCCGGGTCAGCTACTCCTCTGACGTGGCAGATTCTTCAAAAAGGAGTGATGGAAGCGGTTAAAGCTTGTTACTCACGGGACCATATAAGCGCTACATCGGCTCTGCAGACATTTACACGAAGAAAGTGTCATATAATTCTGGCACAATCAGCACCTGATATCCCCTTATTCAGAGGTTTAGAATATTTTTATATATCCCATATGCCGTAGTCGGTAAAGTTGTACTGCTAAGTTACTATGTTGTGATGAGTAGCTAGTGAGTGGCTTAGGCAAGTGTTTTAGTAAGACAAAATAAGTTGGTTTCAGTGGTGATTAATGTTTTACGTGATTCTACTTTCGCAATGAACCGTGAAAATCCAGTATCCATTCTTATACTTCCCACCATCTGCACAAGCACACAATTCCATCATAACCCATTTTACCACGTGTCCTGCGTTCTACACCAAAGGTGTATATTTGTGCCGTCACACTCAACATGAACAAAGTGGTCACTTGACCCCTTGATCAGGCTTGTACCAAGTGAGAGTGTTAACTGTGGCCACAAGTTACTGAGGTTTGCCCTTTTGTGAAGATTTGAAGGGCCCCAAAAACACCTCACACTACAACTGCTGAGGTTGCCCTACATAACCAGGACGCTTCTTTTGCTTGGGTTGTCCCATGTGCATTGGTGAATTTGTATTCGCTCTTCAAACTTCACACAGTCGGTGCATCACCTAAACGTGCCACTAGCAAACAAAATCTGACTGCTCAATCACTGATAATAATTGTACCGTATCGAATCCATCAAAAGTATGTCATGAAAAATGTATATAAAACCATTAACCTAGTGGGCTCATGTATACTAGATCGCTTGCCGGATTGTCCTTACTATTGTTGTGGGCTTGCCCTGACACTCATCCCAAAGTAATGCATTAATTGTGATCAGATCATTGCTCATTGACACCTCCTAGTAGAATTGTCTCCATATAAAAATTGGACCATCAGTCCTATAAAAACATATGATCGGCAATGTAAGTGAGCCCTGCACCTATTAAGCCTTAATCTCGCAAGCCCCGCTAGTCCCAGTCAACCTGACAGCACATGTCCAGTATTGACATGCTTACCCTACTATCAGAATACACATGAAACTGACTCAATTTCGCACTCACTCTGCCGAGCTTGTCAACAAGATTCTTCAACCTGTGCATGATAAACTAATCCTATGGCAAAAGTTGCAATTCTGAACTAAGCCCACCGCACACCTACACAGCTGTAATTATTATGATCAAAACACAGGATTATGGTCCAATTAAGACAATATCTACAATACAGTAGGCCGACTCAAGCATGGGATTTGCTAACACCGTGACATCTGCTGTACGGTGCCTGAAATTACTGCATGAGTAGTACCCAGATGTTGGAGAAAGAGGCTTAAGTATTCGCAGAGATCATGCCTATCTGTTGGTAATAAGCATGAGCTGTTGCCAGTGCGAGGCAAATTATGCACTTGCATGTCAGTAACAGTGTAGTGTGCGTGTGGGGAGGGTAAGACAGAGAGAGAGAGAAGAGGGGGTAGGTGTAGCTCACCCTTACTCCGTGATGAAAGGGTAAAAGCTGCAACACTTCAGATTTATCACATAATAATAGTATACCTAAAGAATGGGAAAGAAGCCAGGAACCATCCCTGAGAGAGTCCCCAGGGATGGTTTTCGTCCCTTATATTTATAGTGGGAGGACTCGTCAGCTGGCCCCACTTTTTATGGTAAAGGCATTACTGGACACACACAGTATCAAAATTGGTCAGTTCCCTTGAGTGGGCCAGATTTTTTGTTCAGTAATGTCTTTACAGAGAGAATGGACCGGCTCAACTGCCTAAACTGCCTACCATGTGGAGACAGTGGAACTGCTCAACGAAAAAACACCCATTCTAACGGTGGTCAAGGGTGGCTTTGGGCTGAAGTTGGAAAGCAACCTATTCGCCCAAAGGCGCAAGGGCGAGGAATAATGGTTAGTGACTTTATTGACGAACACAACGGTTTCTTACAACTACCAGATAACGAACGAATACGAACAAGCTCGCTCTTCTCACCGTGGACTTTGGAAAGAAGCACGGTATCTCCTCAAGTACGGAAGCACTTCAGAGGGGTACTGGAGAAGGTCACAAAGCTGGACCAGAGGTCGAAAAAGCACATAAAGAATATAAATCACATCGCCGCGTATCAGAAGTCGAGTCGTAGTGTAATTACTAAACTAATTGCTTATGAAAAATTTTGTCTTGTATATTTCACGGTCACCCTGTGTAAAGATTTGGCCTTCATCAACCATTCGCTGGACGCTATACAGACGCACCCTTGTAGCAGTGCAGTTGTCCTCAGAATACATACACTCAAAAAATCTTTCATAGTGCATTAACGTACATATTTGTGGTAGACACTATAATATCACGTCCCAAGGATTTTAACTGAATCGAGTGAGTTTAGTCCCACCCCCCCCTCCTCCTCTTCCTCCTTGCAAACGATTCGAATGCCATTGGTGGCCAAAAGTCAACGTTAATGTCCGATAGGGACCGATAGTGTTCCAACAGCTGATCACGGTTGAAACGGTCATGAAGCCCAGTTTGAACTTCCTCTGTGCTCAGACTTTTGAGGAAAAGGGAGTGATAGAGACATAGCCAGATCATCACTAGACCTTCCTCGTTGAATTTCACTGCGTAGCTGTTGAACCACTTGTATGGTTGGATGTAGCAGAGAACGTCTTTCTTACAGTCATACATTACAATCATCATTAAATTTTGTACCCCCAGAGAGCCCCAAAATGGGTACCAGGGTGTTCTGTGTCGGGTGGCGTGTTTGGTGGGCAAAGCTGTAGGTCACCACATTCCCCACTATCTGATGGAGGTGCCGCACCGTCAGTGACACTGGCTTAACCTCCAGGGGTGTTTTGCTTCCAGGTGACAATTCATTATCATCTTCAGGCCCAGAGTCCAGATTTACAATATCGACTATGTCACAGCGGCAATCTGGTGCCCCATGCCATGTGTTCTCATTACCGATCCCCCAAAACTTTGTCGGTGCTTCGTTTTGTGCGCAGTCACCGAGCCACCTCCTTGCTCCACTGGCTTCTCGCCCGCCCGCCCGCGTCACTCTGGTGTCCTATTCGCCCGCCGCCTCACTCCGCTGTCGACCTCCTCACCCGCCCCACTCCACTGATGGCCGTCGCACGTCTGCCTCCTCAATCAACTGGCTGTCTTTCGTCTGAGTCTGGTGGTTATAGGAGGGAGCAGAATTTTGTTTCAGAAAAGAGGGCCAGCGATATTCTGGAAAGGCTGAGCCGCGTCCGTTGCTTCTTCACAGTGGTGAGGTCGGCTCCCACTCTCGGAACATTCACGAGTTTACATACAACGATGCGGTTAGAAAATGAGGAAGAGGGCGCGTTTAGCGATTTGTGGAACATCAGTAAAAACATTCTTACCGGCAGTGAGGGAACAGCAGCCATGAAGGCTACTGTGCATCGGTTATCCACCACTCTCCAGGCAGGGAAGAGTGCAGAACTCAAGGAGGAGCTTGAGGACAATGGTTGCAACGAGCGAAAGCACATGCTTACAATTGCAACAACAGTGTGTATAAATAATATACAGTACAGTGAGTCTGAGCCCGCCATTGTGCACAAGGAAGTCACGTACTTTAAATACACACCCAGGCAATATATGCATTCCTTAGTCTTTGAAGCGCACGTCGTATAATGAACCTTGGTCCTGAAGATTTGCTATTGGTTAGAACGCTTGTGCCAGTCACACTCAGACATGAACAAATGATCACTTGAACACATGAGTACCAAGTGAGAGTGTACTGTGCCACAGTTACTGAGGTTTGCCCTTTTGTTGAAGATTTGAACAACTACAGCTGCTGAGTTGCCCTACATACCAGGACAGCTCTTTTCGCTGGTTGTCCCATGTGCAGTTGATTTGTTTGCCTTCACTTCCCACAGTCGGATGCACACAATAAACGTGCCACTAGCAAACCAAATCTGACTACTCAAATCACTGATAATAAGTGTACGTACGAAGCCATCAAAATTATGTCATGAAGAAATGTAACACCATTAACTAGTGGGCTACATGTATACTATATAGCTTGCCGGATTGTCTTAATATAGGTTAGACGCGGAAGCGAGGTGTCTACGCTACATTGCAACCCGAGGGGCTGTGGAATGTTGGCGTCCCGAGCGCAGCGAGGGCGCTACCCACATGCCCCGAGGGTTGCAATGTTGCGTAGACACCTCGCTTCCGCGTCTAACCGGTTTAGACCGGAGTATCTGATTGGTTTTTGCGCGTTCAAATGGGTAGCAACAAGCTAGCAACGCTGCGCTCATTCCTCATTCCTTACCTTCGGATGGAACAAGACGCTTTTTTTTACGTGTGAGACTCCGAGGAGACAGCCCCCGCCCCCCGTCAAAAATCGGGTACGTCATCATAAAACGCCCTCATTGGTGGTGCGCGTTTGAAAGGGTTAGCAACGCACGGCAACGGCCCAATGTGTTTGTGTATCGCCAGAGCTAAAGAAGCCGACGCTTTTTTCGTGGAATATTGACGTGATTTCTGACTCTCGCGAGCTCCGGAGACTGTCCACAGACTTCTTGCAGGTGCACTACGCATTTTAAAAGAGCTACTTTGCCAGTCGCGCCTTCTACGCTTACATATACCGAACGCGGAATCGGCCGGTTTGCGCAGATAACGACTTTTGAGAATAGCCATTTTGTACGGGGAGTTTGCTGTAGACCACCTGCAAACGCCATTAGACACCTGAAACGAGGTGTCTATGAAAAATAAACCCCCCGCAATTCTGTAATCTGATTGATCAATTGCGCGTGACTGCGGTCTAACTATAGTTGTGGCTGGCCTGACACATCGTCCACAAAAGTAATTATGAATATGATCATTGCTTCATGTGACACCTTCTTAGTACAATTGTGCTACATATATGCATACTTACTATTATAAAATTGGACATCAAGCCTATAAAACATATGATCGGCATGTGAAGTGAGCCTATACCTATTAGCCTTAATCTCGCAAGCCCAGCTAGTCCCAGTCAACTGACTGCACATGTCCATATTGAATGCTTTACCTACTTCAGAACACACATCAAACTACTTCAATTTCGCACTCACTCTAGCTTGTCAACAATTCTTCAACGCTGTGCATGATAAGCTAATCCTACAGCAAAAGTTGCAATTCTGAACTAAGCCCACTGCACACCTACACAGCCGTAATTATTATGATCAAAACACAGGATAATGGTCCAATTAAGACAATATCTACAACAACAGTGTGTATAAATAATATACGGTACAGTGGGTCTGAGCCTGCCATTGTGCATAAGGAAGTGACGTATTTTAAATACACACCCACAATATATGCATTCCTTAGTCTTTGAAACGCACGTCATATAATGAACCTTGTAGCTGCAGAAGATTTGCTATTGGTTAGAACGCTTGCTATTGGGAAGACTTAAAGCACACGAGTAACGGCATATAAACTGTGCAAATATGGAGTCTTTAGAATAGACAAGAACATAATGCGCACTGGACTACTTCGAGAATGAATTTGAAAAAAATAAAAAATGCACTTGCGGAACTTCAAGAATGAATAAAAAAGGATTTGTACTTCGAAAAAAAGAAAAAGAAAAAAGCCACTCCACCAGGCATGTGGCCAACATGCCCAGTGAAGCAGGGGCACTCAGTATTGTCAAACAGAGAGTGAGTAAGGGGAGGAACCACAGCTGTTCCCAGCCAGTGCTCTGGACCACCTACCAGCTTCCAGCCCGGGATCGATCTCTCGACCACCGGAACCTTTATACTGGTAGTCCCCACTTCTACTTTCGCCACTGATGACCCAGCATAGTTGAAATTTTGCCTTTATACCCCCGTCAGTGAGGCTGAAAAAAAAATAGTAGTTGACAGCTTGAACCCGGTAGCAGAAACATGTTTCCTCTTCAAGTTTTAGCCACTAGACCATCAACTCTTTTGCCTTTATACCCACACTTCAGTGAGGTTGAAAAAATAGAAAGTAGTAGTTTCTGGTGTCGAACCCAGGTAGCACCTAATATGTGCTCCACTTGAAGCAGCTTTAGCCACAACACCATCGACTGATGGCAGGTGTAATAGTAGCATCACTACCAGACTCGAATGAAGTTGTAAGGGTTGCGTAGCCGTTGGTATCGCTAATAGGCTGCCTCGTGGCCTGTAGTGCCTGAATAAGTGTCACCAGACACACAGAGAGACAGACAAACCAACTACTGTAACACTCGCTGGGATTTACTGCAGTTGCTGGCAAGAAAGGGTGTGGAGGGGGAAAGGTCTGAATGCACATGCGCGCCAAGTGTTAATAACATTATAGAAGGGTTTACCCATTGCACATGTCTTGATGAGTGAGGTCACACGTCTGTAATGGAGAGTTGTCATGCCAACTGTACCAGAGATCAGCAGACATGGTACTTCACTTCTCTTCTCAGTTATTACAGTGGAAGTACACCTCATAATAAATGACACCTCTCACTAGAGGATACTTGGCTTATACTTGTATTGCCCTCAAGCACCTCTGACAATTTTTGATGTCTCCTTATTTCAGGGGATTTGCTGCAGTTGCTAACTGTATGTAGTGGCAAGAAAGGTCTGAATGTTTGTCACATTTTACTGCAACGTTCAACAGTTGCACTCAGTAGCATGAAATGTAGTATATACTCCCATTGTGAGAAAAGTTACTGTAGTTTTAAGTCAAAAGAATGCGTTGCAAACCAAACCACTTACATTTGCACAAAAGTAGGTGGAATAATGCCTCAAGTTTCCCCACAACCCACTATTCTCATTACCTCCTCCTCCACCCAGGGTCTTGGAGTTCCATTCAACATCGCCAGCTACTCTCTACTGACATACATGATAGCTCACTGTCTGCAACCTCAAGGTTAGCCACACCCCCTTCATAAACCTATGACATCATCATAATTAACTCCCCCTCCAGCCAGGAGACTTTGTACATACTCTAGGAGACGCACATGTCTACCTCAACCACATCCAACCCCTCAATATACAGGATTGTGGGTTATAATAATTGGCTTATCACATTGTCTGCTGCCAGTAAACCTTATTCCTCCATCTCTAAGGACACCCCTGAAAATATAGACACTTACAGTAACAGTTCTTGCATGCAATTTAACCCCTGAAATAAGGACACCTTACTTTCTTCTCCCTATCAGTGTCAGGATTAGAGGGGTTCCACTGTATAATGAACGTACCAAAACTTGCTAAACAGACTCTGATTGAATTTGTGGTAATAATAAGACCATGGTAATGAGAGGGGCAGTGTGTCATTCCCCCATTCCTGTCCCCAGCTGCAGCGGAGCCCGAGACCATTCCCGAGACTGGAACTGAGAAGACAGGTCTCTGACATCGACAAGTTTGTTTACGATGACATCATTCTCCATGACTACCATCCTCACCCCAAGATACACATGGACATGGCTGTCTAGCATCTTTTATTCCCTTTCCATGTTGATATGTACTGCATTACCTTCAGTGAATAATTACACGAAATGACATTCACAACTGCAAAATATGCGCATCATCTCAAGGGAAACGGCCCCACCCTGAATAGTTTGAGCAATGGCGGAGTTGCTTCGCGACAACCCAGAGCTGCGGCAGTTTCTTCTCTCCAATGTAGGCTCACTGGCGTCAGAATCGGCGCAGGAGCCTACGGCAGCGTGGAGGAGGTGGCCGTGCCTGGAGCCGTCTGCGCCGCCAAAAGGATCCACGAAGTCTTCCTGGACCGCTCCGTGATCCCCGCGGCCGAGATCCTCAAGTCGGCCGCCCAGTTCGCGAAGGAATGCCAGCTGATGAGCACCCTCCGCCACCCGAACATCGTCCAGTTTCTTGGCTTGTATTTCCTGCCCGGCTCGCGACTGCCGGCCCTCGTCATGGAGCGACTGCTGACGAGTCTTCACGACTTGCTGGACCCAGAAACCGACACCCCTCCCCCGCCCGACGCGCCCAAGCCCTTCTTCCCGCTGAGCCTAAAGTGCTCGATCCTGCACAACGTGGCGAACGGACTGACCTACCTCCACGAGCGATCGCCGCCCATCATCCACCGCGACTTGTCGGCCAGAAACGTTCTCCTGAACTCGGGGATGGTGGCCAAGATAGCGGACCTGGGCGTGGCTCGTATCGTGCCTCGTATGCGAGTTGCAGCCACCATGACAAAGGGACCTGGGGCCATAATTTACATGCCTCCAGAGGCCATGGAAAGCAAACCTGGGGAGGAAAATAAAGACAAAAAGTCAAAGTACGATGCAAGCATCGACATCTTCTCTTTTGGTGTCGTGGCCATTTTCACACTCTGCCAAACCTTCCCCTGCGACTTGCTAGCTCCCAACTATCGTGAAAGTCGACAGCATAAATGCTAGAACTGAGCTAGAGCGACGAGAGGAGTACATGAGGATGATCTACAGGCAGCTACGCGAGAAGCATCCTCTCCTCCAGATGATCGAGGGGTGTCTGGAGTTCCCTGAAGACCGGCCGAGCATTCGTGAGGTGCTGCGTCTGTTGGAGGAGGCCAGAGCTGAAGTGAGAGACGAGCAGACAGACATGAACAAACTGGAGCTGTTGCGAGCTCTTCAGACCCAGCCCAGGAACCAGGTGAGGGACTGTGTGTGCTGTAGTAGAGAGAGAGTTGGCCAGTTGACTTATTACCCTCGCGCGCAGTGCAGCGAGGGTTACGTGTGTCTGTCTGTCTGTCTAACGACTATTCTCGCACTACAGGCTACGAAGCGGCTTATGAGCGATACCAACAGCTTCAGCGATACATGGGCTAGAAAAATACACTGGCGATTTGCTGAAACGACTGCGTTCGAGAGCGACAAACCGACACAGTCGCGGACAGCGTTGCGTGGCCCAACCCATCAATAAGCGGTGCGCATGCGTGTATTAGACGCAGTATGCTGGCTCACCTTGACCAGATCCGCTTGCTCTGTGTACCTTGGAGGCACAAGAAGCCACAGCGAAGGGTGTGTATCGACTCCCGCATGCTATCTACTACCGTAGCTAGCCCGTGTCAGACTCTCTGCGAGCTACTAGCGGGAGACCGCGCCAATAGCCCAGAGCCCAGACCAGCGGTACCGTGCATGCGTAGTGCGCCGAGGGTTTGCACTTTAGTGCTTTCATGTTTATTAGGAGAATGTTGAGCTAGAGGGACAGCG